ACCCACACCCAGCTGATTTTTTTATTTATTGTAGAGATGAGGTCTCGCTGCCCAGGCGGGTCTCGAACCCGCGGGCTCAGGCAATTCACTCACTTCAGCCTCCCAAAGGCGCGGGATTACAGGCTGAGCCACCGAGCCCGGCTAGGATACTGATTTTACCAACAAGGCGGTACAACCTTTCCAAACTGGATTTTCCATGACTTCTGTTTCGTTGCCTGCTAACTTCTATTTGATAGATCCTAGGTCGTATTCTCACACATAATTTCAAGGAAGAGTGAACAAGTGAGTGTCTCGATAACTTCTTCCCCTCAGTCTTGAGGTGGTTCCCAGTGATTCTACCTTCTGGTTTTCATGCCTCTGTATAATCTATACTTGAATATAACCTAGTCACTCCATTCTAGTGCACAATACAGCAAAAATGAAGAAATTTCACATTAAGTTCTACCTGATTTGGGTGCTTGTTATGGGAACTGTATCCCCTTCTCAATTTCTTATGTTAAAGCCCTAACTCCCATTACTGCAGAATGTGACTGTATTTGGAGGTAAGGCCCTTAAAGAGATAATTAAGCTATAATGTGGTTCTTAATAGAATCTGACTTGTTTCCTTACAAGAAAAGGAGATTAGGACATATCCAGCATAGACGGACAACCATGTGAGGAAACAGTGGGAAGGCAACCATCTGCAAGCCAAGGAGAAGGCCCCAGAAGAAACCAAACTCGCCAACATCTTAATCTTGGACTTTTAGTCCCTCTAATTGTGAAAAAACAAATTTCTGTTTTTTAAGTAATATAGCCTGTGGTATTTTGTTATGGCAGCTCTAGCAAACTAATACTGTGTCTTCCCATACCCTCTTGTTTCCTCGCTCTAATGGAAGCCAGCTGCTATATTGTGAAGTGTTCTGTGAGAAGAACTATATGGTTGGATGCTGATTCTCTAGTCAACAACCAGTGAATACTTGATGGCTACCAACAGCCAAGTGCTTGGGCTTAGAAGCAGATTGTTCTCTAGTTGAGCCCTGACACAACTACAACCCCAACTGATATTTTGATTATAGCCCTGTGAGAGAACTAGAGCCAGAGTCATCTAGATAAGCTGTGCTCAGATTCCCGGCCCACAGGACCTGTGAGACTTTTTTTTTTTTTTACTTAAGTTGTCAAGGCTTGGGGAGGGTATGCAGCTATTGAGAAGTAATACTATAAACTAGATCTCACAATGTGTTTGTATCTTGTATCTTTCAGGATTGAACAAGAAAAGCAGAATCAGTAGGATTCATTATAGGGAATTGTCTTAAGAAATTGTAAGGGTGGTTAAGCAGCCTCTGCAAGACTATTTAATGTTGGAACCTAATGTCAACAGGCGGTTGATTAAGAAGATCATAAGCAGACGAGAACCCCACATGTATGCACTAGAATCCCACAAGGATGAATCAAATGATGTCTGTTCTCATTGCTACTGTCTTCGGGTGACAAGAGTATACTGCAGAACCCAGGGTCACTTGTCCTGGAGCCAAGCACACATAACTGGCCCAGGAGTTAGAGAAAGTGAAGGAAGATCCAGAGGGAAGGGAAAGCAATGGCAGGCACAGTCTCTGTTTCTGGTCAGTGAGGTTAATCAGCAAATCAGCAACAACGAAGAGAGTGCTGAGATCTCAGTATGTATGTTTTCTTGCCTTCTGCTGCTTGGAGTCTCCTAACTTCAGGGATGCCCTTGTCACTTTAATGTGCTTCCACCTGATGAAGTCAGCCTATCCTGTATAAACTTCCTTCCAATTATTTCAAAATCAACTGACATCAGAGTTTACTTATTTATGAAAAATCCCTTCCCATCAGTAAGAACCCCAACTAATGTTTGAGTGAATAACTGGGGAAAATGTGTGTGTTATAGAATGGCTACTGCCTCCCTTCTGTCTTTGAGCTCTCCAAGAGAATCTTCCTTGCACAATACCCTATCTGAAGACACACTAAAGAGGCGATTCTAGACAATGCAATTCATCCTAGACAAATGGAAGGTTGGGATGTTCTAGCAATGGAGTTTAGTTCCTAGATGACTTAAAATAATGACAGTTGTCCAGTCTGCTTCTTCAGCTCCCCAACATTCACCATGCACTCGGCGTTTAAATTTGATAGCAACACCACCAAAAAATGTGCTTCTATGTAACAAATGAAATTATCCCTCATTATATTCAGTATCTATTTTGTATTACTAATCACCTCAAAACTTAGTGACTTAAAACAAAAATATACAATATTATCTCCCAAGGTTCCTGTAAGTCAATAACTCAGAAGTGATTTGGTTGGTCCTTTTTGGCTTTGGGTCTCTCATGAGCTTGCAGGCAAGCAGTGGCAAGCAGGATTACCTTGAAGGCCTCTTTAACCGCCTGCACCAGGAAGACTCAAATAGGTATATGCTGGCAGGGAGCTGAGGCTCCTCAGGCATCTCAATTTCTACTTCTATTTTGTTTCTCTACATGGTGTCTCCAGCATTGTGACTCAGGGTTCCAAGGGCAGATGTAACAAGAAGAGAAGCCAGCTTTTTAAAAAAATAGAGTTGTGGGATACAGGTGAGGATTAACTACATAGATAGGTTGTATGCAGATGAAGTTTGGGCTTCCAGCTGGCCCTCCTTCCCTGGTAATAGACCTGGGGAGCCAGCTTTTTAAAATTAGTCTTGGTTATTCAGTGTCAGTTCCATACATGTTATTTAATAAAACAAAATATTAAGGCTCATTATGAAGGATAGGAAAATAGTACTATTTATAAGGTGTGTCAAAACATTTGGACATGTTTTTAACCCACCAAGCTTGTGGATTCAAAAATGTACTCACCTTTCTACTTTCAGTCTGATACAAATCCATTTTCCCCTAACTTTTGTGTTGATTCTTTCTCCATAATTGTGATTTATAGACTAAACTATAAAACTAATGACTGAAAGGAAAACACGGCGGGGACCAGGATGGGTCAGATGATCATGGACATGCAGCTCGCCATCTTCGCCAACATACTGGATGTGTCACTCTTCCCACTCCTCATCGTCTACCACTATGTGGCCATCAACAACCCCAAAAAGCAGGAGTAAAAGCAGCACGCCCTCCAGGGCTCCAGAACTTAGTCTGAGGCAAGATGGAGGGTGTGAGGGGCCTTCACACTTCACCTCATCCCTCCTGTCCATCACAACATACAACGCAACTACCCCTGGATTTTTCCAAACAACTTTTATTTCCTCAAAGTCTTCCCTAATCCTATGGAACAAGAAGCTGCCACTGAATAGGGCCCAGTAGAGTAGCTGCTTTCTTTTTATTTCCTCCCCCTAATATAAAAATGTAGTTATACTCTTCAAAAAAAAAAGAAAGGAAAACATAATAAGTAATAAAACTGCATACACAACATGTTTCACTTATAGGGGTGACCAAAGAGCCGCCACAGGAACAACACTTCCACGTAAGAGGGGACTCCCTCCCCCCAAAAATTGGAATTTATTTATTAAAAATTGAACATTTATTCTTACATGTTTACACTTCAGGCATATTCAAAGTATTCTCCGTTTGATGCAATACATCTATTGAGATGCTTTTTCCACTGCTCAAAACAGTTTTTGAACTCCTCAATTTTGATGCCTTTTAGTGCTTCTGCCGATTTTGTTTCACCTTTTCCACATCAGCAAAACCTTTCCCTTTGAGGACTTTTTTCATCTGACAAACAAAAATTTCTGCGGGGTGAGATTGGGTGAATAGGGTGAGTGAGACAAGGGTATCATGTTGTTTTGGTCCAAAACTGCCGAATACTCAGCATGGTATGGGCAGGTTGCTTGTAAATCACCCATCATGAAATGGGCAAACGCTTGAAAGACTCTCAAAAAAAAAAAAAAAAAATTCACTGAAGCCAAAAACAGCCTCTCACAACACTAGCTGGTACACTGATACTAGTGGATTCCCAGAACACTTAGCTAGCAGAAGCCATCTGTACTATAAGAGGCCCTCCTTCCAAAAGACAATTTTGGGTTTTTTTGCCCCCCCTTATATATTATCTACAAACTCTGGAGAAAATATTTTAAAAACTATCTAAGGCAATGGAAAATGACTAAAGCAGGCATATATTAGAGAGCAGTCAGCACTTGGAAGAAGGGAACAGCAGGGTGTAAGTTTCGTGTTTGTTGGTTTGTTTAGTAGGCACCATTATGCACTGCAGGGGACTAAAACTTCAGAAGAACACCTGTAGACTAATTGGGTTGAAGCAGTAGAGGACTGAGTTTAGGGTAGCATGAGCAGTGGGAAAATCTGAGAAAGGAGAGGGCCAGAAAATGGGAGCCCCAATTTCTAAGTGGGAACTGTCCAAATCTTTAGTTTGTCCCCACACGATGCACGTGTGGGGTAGGTTTCATGTAGCCCAGCTAAAATAAGTGAATTGAGGTTTCAGCTGTCATGAAGCACAGTAAAGACAGAGATGCAGCATATTACTGTAAAACAAAGTTAATTTCTTTTTTCTTCTGTTTAATAGAGACAGTGCCTCACTATGTTACCCAAGCTGGGCTTGAACTCCTGGGGTCGAGTGATATTTCTGCCTCAGTCTCTCAAGTAGCTGGAACTACAGGCACAAGTCACCCCACCAGGCTCTCTTTTTTTTTCTTTTTGAAAACCAAAATTATATTTCATTACCTTACATCAGTCAAATTCCTGTCAGTTCTTGTTCCTAGCATGCTTTCTACTACTGCTTTTATTAATTACAACATTTATCAAAGTGATTAACTTCTCTTTCACAGAGAAGACAGAAAATCAGGAAATTGAGGATAAATAACCATTTTAACAGAACTTCAAAATTCTCATGCACATATATTTCAACTTTTTACAGTCATATACATCCATTTTTTACTTGCTTGAGGTGGTGCACAAAACCCTCATGTTTGTTAACATAATCCAAAGAAGCCGGGCTTCGTGGCTCAGCCTCTAATCCCGTACTTTGGGAGGCCGAGGTGAGTGAATTGCCTGAGCTCACGGGTTCAAGACCCGCTGGGGCAACTTGCCAAGACCTCATCTCTACAATAAATCAAAAATTAGCTGGACGTGGTAGCGCACGCCTATAGTTCCAGCTACTCAGAAGGCTGAGGTGGAAAGATTACCGGAGCCCAGCAAGTCGAGGCTGCGCGGGAGCGGCCACTGCACTCCAATCTGGGCGATGGAGTGAGACTCCAACTCAAAAACAACAACAACAACAACAACAACAGCAAACATAATCCAAAGAGATAGCTAGTTCATAATATATTGGAGGCAGTTGTAAAAATAGTATACTAACTCCTCCCAAAGACTATCTGAAGAGGATATTATTATATCTGCATTGTATTGATGATTATACTGAAGCAGAGAGCCATTATAAAATAGAGTCTAACATAGCTGTATAAAGCAGAGAATCTGGTTTCTTGTCCTGGCAGTCTGACTCTAAGATCCTCTCTTAAAAACAATTACACTATAAAAAGTGAAAAGAAATAAGATCCAAGACTAGAGACCGATTTTAACATCTATTAATCTTAACAATTAAGTCATTAAAAAAATAGAGAAAATAAAGCAATATTCATATATAGAGAAATCTAGACTCTTCAGTACCCATGCAGTCTTTACAACATCGTTAAATATTTTAATTAAATGGTTAATATTTAATTATTAAATACTTAAGAGAGTACCTTACTCAAAAGTATGAGCAATGAGGGTGATAAATATTACTAGTAAACTGGAAAGCCTGAGTGGGAAAATGGGGCTATTTCAACCTGGATGACCTCCCTAAAATTCATTTTCCACTCTGGAAATTATTGCACAGTAACTCCTTCCATCCATGAGGGGGTGGGTATGTGGGTGTTAATGAGTTTGTTAAATAAAAAGTTATACACATTTTAGCAGCAACCAGTTTTTAAGGAGTATTGGCCTTTCTGGAGTTCCCAAGAAACTTTACATGTTTTTGACAGGAAAATTTGGATCCTGTTTATTAAATCTGGCATATAAAAAGCATAAATCCCTAGTGGTGGTGATCTTAGCAATGAATCATTGTCCTTTAACAATTTAGACATTCACTGTATGAGTTATGTATTGGCTTTTAAAATTTCCCTAACCACTATGGTTGCTGAAAAGAAATTACAGGGAGGTTAAACCAGGAAAAAATTGCAAAACAATGAAGGAGAATATTCCTTATTTGCATGCTAGCAAATGAGAATTCAGTTTTCACCTAGACATATGATATGAAATCAGCCTATAGAAAGTACAGATGGCAAAGAATGCAAATGATCAAGCAAAGTTTTATCTGGAGGTTTTGAGAAGGTTGCATAATGATTTACAGAAGAAACGTCCAGAGTTATGGCAAACAGGTGACTGGTTCTTCCACCATGACAATATACCTGCCCACACTTCCTGAGTGTTCAGCATTTTTAACCAAAAACAGCATAACCTCTGTCCCCCACCCTCCTTATTCACCTGATTTCACCCTGAATGACTTTTTTGTTTGTTTCCCTGGATGAAAAAGTCCTCAAAGGGAAACATTTGCCAATGTGGAAAAGGTGAAACTAAAAAAATGGTAGAAGTACTAAAAGACATCAAAATTGATGAGTTCAAAAACTGTTTTCAGCATGAAAAAAAGCATCTCAATAAGTGTATTGCGTCAGAGGGAGAGTACTTTGAAGACGTCTGAATTTTCAAAATGTAAGAATAAACACAATTTTTTATAAATAAATTCCAGGTGTCTTAGGGTCCCTCTTCATATATAATATATAAGACATTATTAATAAATACATGTGAAATCACACTCACAGAACAAAAAAGAGTAATATATAATTTTTTGAACTAAAGACATATTCTGAGTTAGAATAGAAAAAAGATTATAAAATGTAGTTTAATCATGTTTTATATACATACAAAAGTGTAAAAATTAGTCTGATGTTCTAATTTTGAAAGAATTTGAAGTGGAATTTTTTACAATACTCTTAGGATTATAAATTGTTACAATTACAGCGATCTCTGATTAAGATGAAGAATTATATCCTAAGACCCAGCACTTGTACTCTTACCAGAGTACATATACAAATATGTACATATTACTGTGTTTAATAACTAAGGTTGAGAAGTCCTCCAAAAACCCATCAGTGATAAAATGGATAAATAAATATGGTGTACTTATACAACAGAATACTATACAGCAATAAAAGGAGCAAGCTAGAATTAGACGCTTACACCTGAATATACAAAAGTGCCAAAAAATGTATAGACATTTTAAGAAAGGAAAAAACTGTATTAAAATTGTAATACTCAATATATACCAATAATAAAAGATGAAAACAGGTCACATTTGACTTCCACAATTACAAGAAACTCTCCAAGTGATTACTATCAGTATCCAGACACTGGATTCTGATTATGGTGAACTACTGTTTAAACAATGTTGTCCAAAGTGTCCACTTGAATTGCTGCACATGTCATTTCAATTTTTTCTGGCAGTCCTGCCAGTGTAGATGGTTTTCTGTGGTACGTCACATCCTTTAAGGTCCCCCACAGGTAGAAGTCAAGGGGTGTTAAGTCAGGGAAACTCAACTGCATTGTTCCCTTCAATTTAAACTGCACCTCATCAGACCAAACCATTTTCCCCATAAAGTCCTCTTCCTCTCATACAACGTTTTGGAACCACTCATAATACCACATCCTTTGATCAGGATCATCTTCATTCAGTACATTTAATAATCTTGGGGGAAAAACTTCCATTTTGCTGTTTTAAAAATGTGTCATATGCTTGTTCTGCTAACTCCCATTTCACATGCACATTATTTGGTAGTCTTCTGTGGTGAGTGTGTGAACTGTTCCAAAACCATAGCAAAAGAAGTAGGACTTCTTACTGTGCAAGCCCTTCCGAATCTTTCCTTGTGTACATCACACACAGTACCATGTATCTCAAACTTATCACAAATACATGCAATTGTTAGACATGTTGGATGCTATCGTGCATACTCAAGCCTGCTTTGTCATTGTACTTCCACAGTGTTCTTGAATCTCAAATAGCACTTCAAAATGGTCTTCCACTCCTCCAATGACAACCATGCTTCTGCCATTT